CATCGAGCAAGAAGGGCCAAGGGAGAATGTAAAGAACATACAGCTACGATGGATCACCAAGCAGCTCAAGAACCCCAAGAGCCCAATTCACAAGTGGCCTGAGCGTCTTGTAGAAAAATCTCTCAGGAATCTGGCCAATGATGGTGTACTTGCTCAGCTGGTGACTGACTTTCACTTCACACTCGCTGATGTCAATGTCTGTGCCCTCAAAGAACTCATTCCCATACTTCGCCTTTGTAGGGAGAAGTCTCTTGGGTTTCATGGCACGGCGGGCTTTGGCAAGACACCTTTGGCCCGCATCATTTGCGTGGCCTTCTCCAGGTATTGGGTCAACAAAGTGAAATCAAAAGACGAACCAGGATTTCGCACGGCCAGCGAATTTGATTTTTTTTCGTGGCCAAGTGGGTCGTCTGACAAGGCCAGACTTGTTTGATGATGGAACCTTCCAAGATCAATTGATCAAGAAATTGAAGGCCTTTGCTGATGTTGGCTTGGAAGAAGCCATGACGAAAGAAAGGTGGGGAGCCGCCAAGTTCGTAATGCAGCAGCTACGTGTGTGGTGTGTAAATGACTTCGACGCCAATGCCGAGCCCAAAGATAACATGGCACCTGACACTAACAAGTCTACGATCACCCATCAAGAGTTCATGGATATGTTGGCACCGGCACCGGCGTGGCCCAAGGACACCTCGAAGGAAAACATTCTTGCCGTGCTCAAGAGGTCCAGCATTTGCATCAACACCCGCACACACAATTACACTTACCTCTATGTTCGCCCAGCAGGTGACAAAGAGGTGTCTGTGCAGCGTGTCCGTTTTCCTGCAGATGCTTCTTTTCTTCGCCCAGCCGCAGGTGAAAGGTATATACAGTATCGGCATGGCAACAAGGACACCTTGACTGGGAACAGGCTTGGCTCACTGCACTTTTGGAAGGCAAACCTCTACCACCATGGCTGCCGTCTGTTCAAGGGCATGGGTTGTTCACGGACTCCTCCACAGAGTTGCCGCCAGTACCTTTGTCCCCTTTGTCACCCATCCGTTGCAAAGAAGAACCAAATGAGACACCACCAAATGTCTTCAAGCGCTTGGTTTCTCAAGCCTTCCATGATGCAGTATGGAATATGGACCCAATTTCCGTCGTCGCAGTGGTGATCTCCTCAACACGGTTGTGGTTTCGTCCATGGGTTTGGAGCAGGCTTTGTTCATCAACTCCAAGGTAGGCTTCACCATTCGATGCTTGAAATACCATGCTCATCTACTTTTCCGTTGCGCTGCCGTGGTGCTATGAGAAAACCTTTTTCGATGGATGTGGCGATAAAATGGGTTGGGAAGGCAACTCCAGGAAATTGCATTACGATGCTCTTTTCTACTACATGGTTGCCATTGAATGGGAGAAGATTGGCAAACATACAAGCCTTGCCATTGGAAATGAACTCAATGAAGAGGCCCTGAATCAGTATGACCACTTCTGCCATGAGAATCTGTTTCCTCCATCTCGTCGAAACAAAGTCACTGCCATTGTATGTGATGGCCATCAAAAGGTTCTCATGAAGTGTCTTGGAAAGAAGGTGTCCACATCTCGGTCAGGTCGTCCTCGCAAAGATGGAGTCAAAAAGGAAGAGCACAACCATGGATGGTTCATGGTCATTGACCCGTGTACTTCTCGCATCCTGGCCATTGAAAGCTTGGACAAGCCAGAGAACAATGAGATAGTCACAAGGTCGGTGACCAAGGTTTTGCCACTTTACCCCAAGGTTGACCTTCTCATACTCGATCGCTGTTGCCACTACAAGTCCTCAGCTATCAACAACCCGGAGCTTTCGCAAATCAAGTACTACTCGTTGGACAAGTTCCACGCATACCGCCACAAAAGCACATGTCCTTGCAACCCATTGGCCAAAAAGAGTCTCAAGAAGAGATTGGGATCTATCAATACTTCGGTGGCGGAGCAGACCTTCTCATGGTTCAGGGGCTATGCCAATTTCTTGAACGACATGTGCTCTCTCCGTCATAGGTTCGCAGTGCTTCTCTTCTGTACCTGGCACAATGACTTGATGACTGCTGGAAAGACGGAGCACTTGAATCAGTTCAAATGGAAGAAGCAATCCCGCAAGATCTCCAAGCCATACTCTTGCAACCTGAAGCGCAAGGGTAAGGGGCATCGAAGCATGCGAGTCTTGAAGGCCATGAAGGCAATGAAGTGATGGCCGCCGTGCGTGAGACCATCCAAATTTTCGGCGCAGCGCTTGCGTATAGCGACACTATCGGAAGCATAGTGGCGCGAGTACTCGGCAAGAGCCGTTGTACAAACCCTCAAATTTATGCAACCGTTTTAGAAAAGTAATATATTAAATGAAGACTGCGATACTTATTAGCAATGCCTGCTGTGCGACAAAGTTTCCAAAAAAACAATACCAAAAAAACAAAAAAACAAAAAACAAAAAAACAATGTTTGACACAAAATGCAGCCAACATCCAAAAACCAATAGTGATCCCATTTTGTCTCAAACATTGTTGTTTTGTTTGTTTTTTGGTTTTTGGGTATTTTGTTTTTTTGTTTTTTTTGGTATTCCCTCTAAATTGGGATAGGCTTGGATCTCACAAAGTTGATCAAAAAATAGCTCAAAACCTCAATTTTGGAGAGGTTTTTGCAAGAAATCACTGTAAAACACAGTGTGTTTGCATCATTTTTTGCATGAAAAACATCTCCCAGGAGCACCCGTTCTGTACTACTACTACTACTACTACTACTGCCACTACTACTCCTACTACTACTACTGCTACTACTGCTCCTACTACTACTACTACTACTACTACTACTACCATAATATACCACTACTACTACTACTACTACTTCTACTTCTACTACTTCTACTGCTACTACAACTACTTCTACTTCTACTACTACTACTTCTACTGCTACTACTACCATAATATACTACTACTACTACTACTACTACTACGACTACTAGTACTACTACTACTACCACCACTACTACTACTACTGCTACTACTACTACTGCTACCGCTACTACTACTACGACTACTGCTACTGCTACGGTTGTTTTTATGGCGGTGATACTATTCATATTCCTCCAATTGTTTGCTAGGGGGATGGGCTTTACTTTTTATGATCCAACATTGCCGTTCCCGTGTCAGTCTACAGCAAACTTGATCTTCATGCCACATGCATATACCTTACTCTTGTTTTTATTTGCCATCATTGCTCCAGTGTTTGAATTGTTTATTTCTTGCTTTCAATTTTTGTTATTGTTTCCTATCCGATCCTTTTTGTTTCGCTACTGCAAATGAACGCATCCCAGCCTTACAGGCTGCCCCTTCACTGCTTTGTAGTCCTCCAAAATGCTGCTGAGGTACCGCTTTGCGATTTGAAACAATTGATTGGGGGGGAAGGGGATCTTTTAGCTGACAGCGCTGAAAATCAATCGAAAGCATCCGAGGTCAACCCCCTACAGTACAAGAGTAGGTTTCCGCCTCGCTGAATTAGTTTGATGATGTTTGATGTGTTTAAAGGACAGTTCTCGCTTCACAGGGCAAGGGTCATATCTATGGGAAACGGAAATGGTCACCGGAACGACAGCGGTTGCGGTTGTCACCTCAGGCCTCGGAACTCAAACTCCGACGTGAAATCGGACACACTTTGAAGAGTGTGGTGCACCTGGCCGATTGGCACGGGACCAAGGTGGTGGTGAAATGCATCAAGATGAAGCGGAGGGTGACTGAGTAACAAAGATTCAGAAGTTGTTGCCAGTTTTTGTTGTGACAAATTAGTACAGAGCAATATTAATGACCCAACGATTGCAATGACTCAGATGTTTTTCAGGGTGAATTGAAAACACCAACCAGGTGATCATGAACAAGATGAAACGATCCAAGAGCTTTGACCTGTCCCTGGCGAGTGAATTGCACGAATTGGACGACGTTCCGGTGGAGAAGGAGGATTGCAGCCCGGAGGAAGCAGAGATCGAGCACATGTGTTCGGAGGAGCTCCTGCGTGAGATTGAACTTTTATCATCCCTTCGGCATCCTGATTTGGTGCTCTTCTTGGGGGCATGCTTGGAGAATGACATGCCGGTGATGTTCGTCACAGAGTACATGCCGGAAGGTGACCTGGAACACTACCTGTACAAGATGAGGGATGAGCGGCAAGTGCCCCACTATGCCCCACCTCTATGGCGAACCATCGAATGGTCTATGGCAGTGGCTCGGGCATTGGCCTTTCTCCACAAGTTCCCAGTGATTCATCGAGATTTGAAACCACTAAATTTGCTGCTCACCAAGACCTTGGAGATAAAGGTCACAGATTTCGGGACCAGCAAACTCATGGCCAAAGCGGCAAGAGATTCTGAGGACGCGACAGGGCATGTTCTTGAAAGTCGCTACAAAGAGTGCACAGATACAAAGAGAACGCAACATAACGCAACTAATTGCCAAAATGCAAAGGGCAAGTTTGTTGTTTCCAAGAGTAAGTACATTCCACTAGGGATTCACTTTGAACCGCAGCACCAAACCCTTGTTTTTATCAAGAATACGGGTTTAGACATGTTTCAACTCCAGCACCAAACCGTTTTGGAAGGCAAAACGGCTTGGGTGTCAAACCGTTTTCGATTTTGAACCTCCAGCAGCAAACTGGTTTGGAGTCAGGATGGCTCTGTGGACAACGACTTGAAGCACTCGACCAAGGGGGAAACTCAGATGACCTTGGGAGTGGGTACGTACAACTATATGGCTCCAGAAGTGGTCAGGACAAAGAAGTATGATGAGAAAGTTGACATCTATGCCCTGGCCTTGATTATGTTCTACTTGAGTTCAGGGAAGCGGCCATTTTACCACCTCTTTGTCAGAGGACGGGCGACCCATCCGAAAAGCCATGATCTAACTAGGGAAGACATGACAGCCACAGAATCAAAACCAATTGATTCTTTCTTTTCAGGCGTTCCATGGTGTTTCAGATGTTTTGCCATCCTTCGACCATCTGCCCCCAAACGCGGCGCCCGGGGCTGCGACCAGGCCAAGGACCCGCGGAGCTGCTCGAGCGGTTCGCACACGGAGAGGATCCCAGACCGGATGCGCGGCAGTGCCACCGCCGCCTGCGCGGCCTCATCGAGCGAGGCTGGGCGGTCAAGGCGTCAGAGCGGCCGAGCGCCAAGGAGACGGGAAGGGAGAAAGGGGTCTCCGTGGAACACCGGGTGAAAAACAAAACGCCTGGCTCCGTAGGGAAACATATGTTTGTGATATAATATATATATATACAAAAAAAGAAAAACACATATATATATATAATATGTATTTTGAAAATAACGCCAATGGCCCAAACGCCTGGAACACCACGGAACCCTGAGGTCCCACGTCGTTGCCTTGTTTATTTGTCTAGCAATGGCATCCGGCTTGGTTGGCTCGTGGATCAATCTGATAAAGCCACAGTTGCCTTCAGTTGGACAGGTTTGTAGCAGTTGAATGAACCGTGATGAACCGTGTGAATGATGCAGAGCGAGGTGTTGTTGTTTGTTTTGTTTTGTTAATATCGGCTTGGCGAAGCGCGAGTGGACTGTTCCCTGACACTCGCTTGCTCCTTCAGGAGCTGCTGGAGGACTTAGAGGAAAAAAAAGAACTTGACGCTTGGACGACCTGGAGAACATGGCGCGGTCATTTCAGGTAGGTCTCCAAAAGGAGGACCCACCATGACCCACTCTGGATCAGCGTTGTTCCTCAGATAGCGAGAGCTATTTGGGGCTCTTACTTCAAGTATAGGAAGAGGTGCCTGTATGTACTTTCGAGCTTGGGTGCTGGTGCTGCTGGAGGGTGCCAGATGTGTGTGGCAGTCTGCGGAGCCTGTGTGCTGGTGCTAATGCAAGGTTCCGCTGCGGGGTTGCATGGGGTTGCTGCCATACGTCTATGGCAGCTTGAGCATGTTTGAGCTTTGGAGCCTGTGTGTTGGTGTCGCTTCCGGCCGCCGCTGCCAGATGCTTTTGGCAGTGCGCAATTTGGAGTGTGGGTGCTGGTGTCATGCTGCCCACGCTGGCGCAATTGGTAGAAGTGTGCTCGTGAAGCACAGAAGAAGCCGTTCAAAGGTCATGAAGCTCTGAATAAGGCCATACCTCTTGTTTTGATACAACATGATACACCCACTACCCTTTCACTTCGCAAATTTGAGCGCCGGTGGCGCGTCCGAGAAACGGCCAATGGGGAAAGTACACAGGACTTCGACGCCCAAGTCGTGAAGGGACCGGTTATTGTTCGTCGTAGTGAGTGGTGATATGGCACAAAGCCCCTTTGGTCAAGCTCTTAGTGCTGTTGATCCATGAGTCTGCTAGGTCAAGCAAGTGCAATGCTGGCATTTGTTTGGGGGGGCTACATATTTGCAGTACACATATAATATATATATATGGTATCGCACTGTTGTCCAAAATTTGGTTCAAAAGCGCTCTTTCAACAGCCAAGGCAGATGCCGGGTGTTTCTTGCCAAAGTTGCACTAGCATGTGAGCAGTGACCTTGCGAATATGCTTGGGACCCACAATCAACTTGTATTCGGGTTGTGTTCACCAGTCCGAAATTTTAGCTCTTGACCTGGAAGGAGGCGTTTTCGATTTCAATCGTTTCCGAGCTTTGAGTCCATGCCGCTCGAGCTTCGGGGCTGGAAAATCATCGATTCGGAGCTTTGAGCCCTTGGCACGAGAAAACTGCTTTAGGGCCGGCCCATCGTTCCAGACAGTTCCAAACAACTTTTGGTCCAAAGACCCGTTTGTTGGTCATTTGACAGAATTCAAGTGCTTGGGTGTAAAGAACACTGTGACAGACAATCCATGAATCAATCTCTTGAACTTTGCAGGGCGGGCTTAGGCGAAAAAGGCTCCGATCCGACCCGAGTCTCGCGTCTTGTCTCGATGAGTCTTTTCCAGTCTGTTGGGCACCTGAAGAACTGATTCAACTGGTGGTTCCCATTTCGGGCCACTGAATGGGTGCACCAAGTGACCGTTCTCGGCCTCGAATTCGTTTGCACGCAGGTCACGGCGGGCGTTTAGACCGCCGTTTCGAGTCGAAGGACCAACGAGGATCGGATGGGGGGCCCGAGACGAGGCAAGACATGTGACATGTTCTCTGTATGTGGATGTGTTTCTGGGGGCAGGTTGCTAGTTTGAGACACCCTAAAAAGGACAAGTTGTTTGGTCTTAGATGAGATTGGTCTCCACAAAGTGCGAACTCCGATAGAAATCATGTTTTCTTGGGTACACTTGCTCTGCACTGCACTGCACCCAGCTGGAATTCAGAAGCAGGCCTGTTTGTGCTTCGCTCTCTTGAGACCCCTGGAACGATATCCTCAAAACGTTCCCGCAAAGTGCTGTGAAATGTTATGAATAGGCAGCTGAGCTTTAATGTTTGTAATCTCTAATTCCTGTGCAAATTCACCATCGCTGGGCACTCACTGGGCGCTCACTCTTCTGGGTGGAGGTCCTACATCGACGATGACGATCGCAGACCTGAAGTTTGAGCCGACTTTGCCGCAGCAAGCAGTTATAGCCATCAAAACATTTCAGGGAAAGCGGTTGAAGTCACCTTTTGAGCAGATTCAGCTGTGGTTTCAAAGAGAAAGCAATGCCAAACTATGTAATTACATGTTTAGGGCACTTGCAATATCAATCTACAATCATTGGATTGTAATTGATTGTATCCGTAAGCCATGAGTCCGAGAGGTGTCCAAAGAAAAGTGGCAACCTATCCAGGACAGTTGGAAAGAGGAGAAGACTTGGCAGTTTGCTCAACAAATGGCTTGGCGCAAGGAGCTGCGGACATGGGCCTGTAAGTTGTGCACATGTCCTATTATTATTGTTATATATTGTTATCCATGTTATCCTATATTTATCAGCTTCTTGTTACTAGTAGCGATGGCCTCCAACCTACTAGCAACGCTAGCAATGGCCTCCATCCTACCAGAGTGCCCGGAACAGATAGGAAAGTATCTCGAAGGTCGGCTGAAGACAGGAAGACTTATTTAAGCTTTTAGTTGTGGGGAAATTACTAGTCTTCATGACACCTTCTTGCACCTTAAAACAATGTTCACTTCATTTAGTTGTTTCCCAGTCTACATGTGTAGAATGAATACCCAACGACGCACATCGGGTTGTTGAGGCCAGTGGTTAACGCATGACACCCACCGACATGGTGGTTCGCAAGCTGATGTCCCTATTAGTGGGACCACCAGCATTTGTGTACTTAAGTAGATAAAATAGATGCGAGATCAATTACAAACTGATCCTTTTGTGACTGATGAATCATGAAACGAGCGGCTTTTACTGGAAAACAGAAGGGAGATAGCCGTGCTTTTTTGATGACCGAGTTGGATTTTCACATGCCATGGTGGCTGCGGTTTCGGCTCGTTGCGTTGCTGCAAAGCTTTTTCAGAGTAGCTGGGAGGGAGGCAGCTATTGGGGCAAGAAGAACACCAGATCTATTCCTGCATGCCACAACACACCAGAGATTTGCTGTAGCAATCTTTCACATGTAAAAAATAGTTCTTGAGGCCTAGACTCAAAGCTGTCTCCACTGCGCAAATCCTCAGCAAGTTCACTATGTCTACATACGCCCATCCATCCAGAATGCATGAACATGGTCTAGTTGTGTGGAGGTGATTCCGCAAAACAACCTATTTGTTCTTATTTGCCCTGTTTGTCTATGCATCAATGCAAGATCCCATCTTGTGCTGCGTAGCACATGTGGCCCGGCTCCCAGAGAAGTGGTTTTTACTTTTGCGTATCGCTTCGCTGCATCGGCCCGCATCGTTGTCCCCTTCGCTGTCTTGGACAAACTAAACCTGTGAACTTCAACTGATCCAGTTGGCCAGTCATGTTCATGTTGCCCAGTCAAGTGGGTCGCTATATTAAGACCTTTGCATCTTGCTGATTTGTAGTTCTATTGAGTCAAACCTGAGTTGAGAGTGCAGGTCACAAGTATCACCATGTTGTAAGTCGCTCACCTTTTAAGATCCTTTAAGCAAGGGTTTGCTCCAAAAGTTTGTAACATCACAGCTTTTTGGTCTTAGCTCTCCACGCACCGACTGGTACCAACTAGGTCTTTTTGGAACTATCCCTCAAAGGAGAAAGAAGTACGCACATTGAAGTAGGTGTCATTTAGTTGAAATATATTAGTATCGATTGTTTCAATGCCTACTCAGGTGTTCACTATCGATATTTAATTCTCTTTGGAGTCAGGGCCTCACTTGGACCCCCCAGCACCACCAATGGCTTGGCGCAAGCCCCCTCTTCACATCCGGAGGTATGGCACGGGTTTGGGAACCCTCAGAGACCTTGCGTCCAGAGCAGAAGGTGAAGTGCCGGACTGCTCGTGGCAGATCTGCGTCCTGCATTTGTTCTGGAGTCTTGTATGAAGCCCATGGCATCAAAAACTACAGAAAGCACCAGTCGAAGCACCCGTCGAAGCATGCTGTTTCGCACTCCAAACATTGATTGCACTCCCCATCCAGGGGTGTGGCCAGGGTGGGTTCCGATACACCCAGATAGCCTCAAATAACTAGAACTTGGATGTCACCAAGCTGCTCCTGGCGAAAAAGCGCCCAACAGTGCGCTGGCAGCGCGCCGTTTTCTTTTTGCCAGGCCCCCACCATTTGCCTGCAGAGACCACGAGATGGGGTGAGCGGCCGTTCGACCTGTTCGAGATGGGGTGAAGACATGGGTTTGCAAGGGCTCAGCCGGTGCGGTGAGTCATGGTTTGAAAGGGGCAATGTCAAGAGGACGTGGTTTCTAGATGTTGGCATGTCTTAAAACCAAAGGGGGTGCTAGTCTCACAAAGGTGACGAGATGATTTTTGTACAAGAAGTGTACCATCAATTAATGTTCAGCCGTGCCCGAGTCAGATCTCCTCAATTTGAGCAGCATGTTCTTCTAAGAAAGAAGATGTGTTTGTCGGTCACCCATCGATCTAGAAGGTTTAGAACGTTGGAGTGATTGAAAGTATCCCAAAAACATGTATTGTGTGATCGGATCAATCTAAGGCTTTGGACGCCATAGGACACCTTTGACAGACCATTTTCAAAGGGCAGCAGTTCCACACCAGGAGCACTGGCAGCAGTTTCAGCAAGAGTTGGGCCATTGGTTCCAAGCTTTGAAGTGGCTCATCAAGGACGCCAAGATGCACGTGTTCCCTGCAAAGAGGTTTTCTGGCCAAAGAAACTGGCGTGTTTGCTGCAAACTAGCTTGAGTCGGGGAGTTGGAAAAGTGCCTGAATGTGCACGTTGTTTCTACCATGTGACGGGCCTCCATGTCCTGGTTTCGGCCGTAGCCTGATTGATTCCCATTGCTCCGGCTCACGATGCCTTTGCACACCATGTCATGCAGGAGTTCCGTCTTCATATTGGCTACGAGACGCCAGATGAGGAGGTACTGTCTCGCCATCAAGATCTTAGATGTCCTTAAATCATTGACCAAATTTCGATAGCAAGTTAGCTCTCAAACATTCTTAAACAAACTGTAAACTGAAACAAATAATGTGGACATGCTTGAAACATCATGTACTACTAGAACTACATAGTGTACCAAAGTAAACCATTCTTGCAAACACATTCAACAAAACAACCCAATTTGTTTTTCTTTCGCTTCAAAGGGGATCATGATGGGTCATGCATCATTCATGCTGCGCGCCTAAGGCCCCCAGGCCCGTCTTAGAGGACCGTGTCTTTTTCCACAGGGTCATACAACCTGCCAACCTGCAAAGAGAAGACCACCGAACTCCAACTGCAGCCCCATGTGCTTCGGCCCAAATCACGAGTTCAGCGCGACCTTCAGCAGCTTTTTCATGGAGCTGCTCCGCTATGAGGGCCAGGAAGTGGTGGAGGTCAAAGAGTTTCAGGTGGGACCAATGGCGCCGGCGCGTTTGTCATGGATCCGGTTCGGCCGGTGCTCATCGATGGTTTCCATCTGATTTTTTCCCAAACGGTGGCCAGTCACACCGATGACGGGGGGGGTTCTCATCGATGCTTTTGCACCATATTAGCGAGTAAACGGACACTGTGCATGTTGTGTCTCTTAAATAGACCAGAGTTGGGGAGGGTCTGATGTCTTTGGAATAGAGATGCAGGGATGAGTATAGTTCATTGGGGAAGAATATGTTTGCTTTTTGGGGTGGAAAGCGTCTACTGCGAATGTATGGGTAGATTAGAAGTCATAGCTCAACATTAGCGGTTCTTTTGACTTAGTTTTACTATGTTCTTTGCCTCTTTGGCTCCCGCACTGGTATTTTAGGTGGCGGCTGCACTGCTGGAGAAGCGTGACTTTGATGTGCTTGGCCGACAGGTGCCATCACAGCGGCTGGGCTAAAGAAATGCATGTCGGACTGAGGCAGAAACATGAAGAACACCGAGTTGGGTTTTGCTGATACTGCTTCATTCCCCATCCCCACAGATGATTTTAGAGGATGTTTGAGGGATCAAGATATCCAACTCTTGAAGCCAGAATTCCATGAGAATGATCAGTTTTGTTCATCCAAAGTGGAGTTGTTTTATTAGGTTTACCCACTAAGTTACTAGAATCACCATCAATCGTGCTGCGAACCAAAGACACATGTCACATTTACACATGCATATGTCCCGTTCCCCATGGCACTGAGCCACACATTTGTGCACTTTCCACTAAGCCCTCACTAAACCGCATGGCACAGCGACATCCTATCGAAATCTTTACATGTTCGGTTGATGGAATATCTACAAGCGAAGAAGATCAAAGAATCACTTTTGCAAGGGGAAAAGGAAGACCCTGCGTGTTCGAGGTGTCAAGCCGCTGATGCGAGTTAAACATTGATTTTACATGAAACTGTCGTGGGTGAGACCCTCTGTTCGTTCCTTGGAAGCTGAGGTGGGGACCAGTGCACTTGTTTGATCTTTGCCTGGCCTTTGGTCACTTTGATGTGGCGTGGCAAATGGCCCGGGAGGTGAAAGGATGCAAGTTGCAAGCTCATCATTTGGGACGGGTGTTCGCTCAGCGAGAGCCACGTCCAGCGCGCACGGCTTCTCCCTACATCTTTCGGTGCTCCTGCAGAGGTCTCTTGGATGGGGGTCCTGAAACGCATTTGGTCAGGATGAACACTATCTTTGTTTTGACAATAGAGACATCTCACAAACATTAAAAAAAACTCTATGTACACCAACATAAAGTATTATAAAGAAAGTAAACTTCTCGAAGAAACCAACAGATACCAAGAGTTCTTGACACATTTTTTGAGTTGTTAAAGGGGTGTTTTTCACCGGAGGTCTTCAGAGCTGCGACCATTGTTGTTTCGGATTCGACGTCGAAGATGGCCTTTGGATGGAAGATGCTGAGATGGAGCTGGCAGCAGCTCAGCAGGCAGCCCGAATATCCGTGACCTGATTGGAAACTGACTTGGGAGTGGATGTTCTTTTTTAATTTGCTTTCACAATTATAACCTACGTCCTTGTTTCTTGATTTCCCTGAATGACAGGTAATTCCTCCACCAACTTCATTGTTACTTGAAAGAAATCTGCTTGGCTTGGCTAGGTCAAGAAGCCGCTCCTCCACCGCATCTTCGAAGTCTTTCACTCTGAAGGAGCTGAGCTGATCGATCTGCCTTTCGAGATCTCGGACCAGGCCATGGCAAATTTGTTGGACCTGGCAATGCTCACGGGAGATCACAAGGTGGTCTCATGCCTTTGTGGGCTTTGCCGCATGAGGCCTTTAAGGCGTTGGAGGTCGAGTGCATTTGTCGAAGAGGCAGTGGGTTCCGTGTCGAGTGTGGAGATTCCCGTGTCGAGCGACGAGATTGGCCACGGGGTTTGGAGGATCTTTTGGCCACGCACCGTTCAACTGTCTGCAGCTTTACGATCTTTACTTGCAGCTCTCTTGGTCATCAAGGAGTTTCAGTGCCTCTGGAACACTGTGATCACAGTCAAATACTTGTGGAGTGCAAAGATTCCTTTCCCAGAAGCACTCACTCTGTTCTATGGTAGTTCGTTGCCAGAAGTTGCAGACCTTCTTCCTCCAGCGCAGAGCAATTGGATTCCAGAAGAGGGAAACCACTTGGGAGTCTTTTTCTTCGAAGATAGAGAACAGAAGGCTGGATTGAGCAAGAGCCATCTCAGGCTTGCCAAGATTGCGGGGATGGAGGTCAACAGCCTGGGCGTACAAGCAGTTTGGCTTTGCCCGTCGTCGCACACGCCTGATCGTATCCTCCACTGGACCCTTCTGGATGTGGCCATTTCCTTAGGTTGCTTCGGCTTATCTATCAAATTTTATTGACCGGTACCTGTTGCAGGATGATGACCGTATTGTGGAAGTGCACCAAAGCGTCAAAAGTGGTATATAACAGTTGGTACTGGCCAGGCTAAACGCTTTACGATGCTTTACGCCTTCAGGTGATTCTGACACTGCGGCGTTGCTCGCATCCCTGCCTTGCGCCGAGCTCTCAACGTGGGGCATCCGCTTTCGGCCCGAGTGGAGTGACCCAGCACGGAAGTCAGCCGCTGTGGCCGGTGCTTGTGCTGCTTTGCAGCGCTCTTGGAGATCTGAAATCATGCAGAATCTTGTTCAGATCTCCAAAAATATTTGGTTCATATTCGGTCTGTTTGTGGTTGTTTGGTTCATGCAAGACTCCAAGAATAGTTCGTTGGTTCATGTTCAATGATTCAATGCTTGTCACAATGATTGTCACAATGTGTGACTGACGGTGTGTGCATGATGTTCTTGGTTCTTCAGATTGGTCACCAGCAGCCAGGACTGGTATCGCCATGTACCAGGTCTTCCGGAAGCTGTCGGCTGGAAGTTCTTTTCCCATGTCCTTGGTGGATCAAGTGGTAGCCTATTCAATGGAAGTACCAGAGATTCTGTATCACTTGGATCTTTGGAAGGATGTGCAGTTCTGGTATCCCAGATTTGCATATATTATGTATTATACATATGCTTTGGTTTTACAATGTTTGTTTTGGTTGACCGTCGATTTAGCAATCATCGTTGTGCTAGCACCGTTGTTCATGTGTAAAATCGCTTTTTGATACGGGGTGTGACCCCCTTTGATCCCCTTTGAACAGGGTTCGGAACATAGACCAAACACGGTTGGGGCCCCACATAATCCCCGGGATCTCCCTATTAAAGATACCTGGAACCAACATGGAAGTGGACAATAATGATGAACATGGAAAGGAAAGACCATGAAATCCGGACGATGAAAAGGTGCTAGTAGCGATGCCGTCCGATCACCTCCGGACGTCCAAGGTATTTGTCGGACTTTTGGCACCGCAAGTCGGTATCACGTCTGACGACCAGAGACCATCCGATTCCATTGGTGGATGGAGTGAATGAGGATGGCGATCGCCTCCAAAGCTCATCATTTGGAGAGTCGGGAAAGCCGAAGCAGGATGAGAATCTCGAAGTGTTCTTAAGCTCTTTTTGGACTCAGAACAACATCTTTTGTCAGAACACCAGACAGGGTACAGTACAACGTGATGTTGACAGTTGATTGATTACTTTTTGAAACAATTTCGGTTGATTGATCAACAGAATACTGGACATGCTATCTACATCAGTCTTGAAGGCGCCGCTGAAAGCTAGAAGACACAGGGCTAATCAGGGCTACATGGCTCCAGTCAACGCATGGTTTTCATGTCGGCTTGAAGTTTGATTTCTGGAGACCCCCAGCCAGGGCTGGGCTTGGGATGGTTTGGGTCTAGTTTTTGTTCGTGTCCTTCTTCCAGGGCGTTCAACTGGGAGGTCTCCACACCCTTGAGCCCCACACTCATGTGCCCCATGTGTTTCCGTGAACAAAACCTTGGCCTTTCTGGTGCTTGGGCCAGCCATGACTCACCGGCAAGAACGCACCAAGGACTGACCAAACCCTACGGGCGATCCAAGAAAGCCGCCATGATGGCCCACCTGCCCTGAACGTCGACGGGGTGTGTCTCCTGGGTGAATATGTCGTTGGGTTGCAGTCGTTTTGTTCAACTAAGTAAAGTGATTTGTGAATTTACACAGTTACAAGAGTAAGTCAGTTCTGCAGCCTTGATTGATGTTATCGAAAAAAAACAAATATGAACACATGTTTGCCATGTTTTAATTCCCCGCTGTTCAACATGCACATCCAACCCATTTGAGGTTTATTCCGCCTCACCCGGATGGCTACCGCCGTCCACGTGAACAAGCTGCTGTTAGATGCCAGCGGCCCATTGCAAGCACTGCACGCACGTGTTTTGGAAGCTGGCTGTGAGGCGGGAATCAAACAGATAAAGACCTGCAGCTAGTATTGTATGTATTTGTTGTACTTGAAGGCCCAATTAAAGTACCTCTCTCCTCTTAAAGGCTTTGTTTGAGCCTTGATTTGACCGGTCCTTCCTTGTTCGTCGGAAGTTGGGCTGATGAGGTGAACGCTGACTCAGGTGAAGCCTCAATGGAGTCCGGTGAAAGCGCTCTTTGTGCCATGCACGGAGGCACAAGCAGGTGAACTACTGGGCTTGGCAGCTCACGGATTCTTAGGTTGGATGTTGTGGCAGCTGTGTATTTTTCTTCGGTTTTTGTGCGGCTCAAAGTCTCGGACAGGTGATTTTCATTGAAATATGGTTCATAACATGACACAAAGCCTATAGGAGCACTGTGTTGATGGTTTTTGAGTTTAAAGTCTTAGGAGTCTTAGGTTTGACTCTGGGAAAGTCCATCATGGCGTGGTTTCTTTTCCCAGCTTGATTAAGGCACAAGCCTGTGGAGGTCATTCAACCAATGTTTGCAGATGCATGTTTTCTGCAACTCAGGATACGAGCTTTGCAGGGACAGTAACATCTTGGCACTCCAAGAGGATGGCGTCGTCATCATGCAAGCTTTGCGTGAAAACCTCAAGAAGGCTGGCCGACCCAGGCTGAAGAAGGAAAGCCCAACAGATGTGCAAAGTCCAAGAAGAGAAATGGATCGTGAAGACGAACAAGAGATGGAACAGGTAGTTTGACTTGAGATCTATTTTTGTGTTGTATCTTTACACAGATTTTACATACCATTGTCGAGAGTTTGTTGTCCCCAATTGACCAATCATGTACTTGAGATAGAGACGTGCTGGAGACGATCTAAGGACCACGACACCGAGCCCGTCTTGGTCTTTGAGTGTGGCCTTCAAACAGACTCCATGGTCGGATTCCCTGCGTATTCGCAGTGAAAACTGAAACCTGTATTTGCTGCAGTGGCTAGACAGGGTCCTGAGCCTTGATAGCCCCATTTGCTGCAGCAGATGTTGGAGAACTCGCAAAAGAAGAGAGATTGGAGGAACGGCTTAGAGGCCTTTCTGAGAGATGCAGCATCAAATGCATGATTTAACACTGATTTTGGACCGGGCAGCCCGGGCTGCGGGGCAACTTGTACAGATAAAAGCTCCAGATGAAGTGCACTAGCCAGGGTCCTGAGCCTTGATAGTTGCAGAGATTGACGGAGTTCCTGCAGAAAAGCTACCAGGGCTGTTCTGCTTTCCTCTTTGTGAGAGCCATGTGAGCTCAGAGAGAGAGAGTCACACCTTCACTGCTTCACCCTCCAACAGTCCACTCCAGTCAAGTCCAGTCCGCTGCCTTTCGCCTGACAGCTAGGCTGTCAGTAGTCGGTCTTCCCCACTTTCCTGGGCGTTCCTGGGCTTTACAAGTTGGGCTTTCGCAACTCTAGCACTGGAGATGTTGGTTTTACGTGTAAACAGCCAGCACTGGAATGGCTGGTTCTTTTTGTGCCGTCCTCCCCATATCTTTATGTGCCCGAACACATGCCCGCAGTCGCCGAAATTCCAAAGCAATGTGATTCAAGAAACCTGGAAGTCATGGAAAAGAGTGCTTAAAAACATATCCATAAATTATTTTTGCTTAAAGGATTGTGTAGATTTAGATCCACATACTGAAGGACTCTTAATCAAAATGAATGAACCAGCCCGGCCTGACAGACGAAGCAGTAGTTATTCGATCTTCCCCGTTTGTCTTGCGGGCTAAAAAGCCAGTCAAATGTATGAACCAGGATTAGAGAGCCGATATACAGCCGATATATATATATATATGATATGTGTGTTTGCAATGTTGCAGGCTGGTATCCGCTTTTGGTTGGAGCAGATTTCGAAGCGTAGCGTACTCAGAATCGACCGCCACGCTGTTGAAGTGAGCCGCAGAAATCCATGGCAGTGCCCCTTGAAACTTGAGTGAAACCTAGCCAGATCTGTATTCCACCAACCCAGTACAAGCCACGGCAAAAATGGAAACAACCAAAACAAACAACCTAGCATCAAGTGGAGAAATTCTGATGTTGCAGCAGTGTCTGGCTCCGTCTTGGATTTGACACACTGTCTGTGCAGGGCGCAGAAGCCGAGATTTGATTCCATCAGACCCGAGCAGTTGGCTTTGGCCGTGGATCCGGCGAGGTTGGTTTGGTGATGGTTAGTTCGTTTCTTAACTTCGCATCGCTGTCGACACTTCTAGACACTCCTAGACACTCCACCTCCTGTTGACTTCTTGATGAAATGGACACCTGCTGTAGTCATGTCGACCTCGAAAAAGCGACATGTCGTCTCTTTGATATCTCAACCGACCCGGTCGCCAGTTCCTGCCAGGTCGGTTTCTGCCGCTCGTCCGCTCGGACCGGGTCGGCAGACGTTGTTCCGCCGTCGTTCCGCCAGGACGGCGGACGAGCCGGTGATGCGTGCCACGAAGCTCGAGGCGATCCTCGTCTCGAACAGAGCTGGTTTGGGCCATCCGATGGTGACGGAGGCCATCAACCAGCTCTGACCAAAACCAGCTCTGAGGGTGTTGGTGGGTTTTCGGTATTGATGTTCTTTTGGGGTTTATGTGATGCTGTGGGTTTTTGTTGGAGCTCGCCCTGAACAGCTTGCGGCCACTGACCCCAGAAAGCTTGAAGAAGAAGAAGGAGTGGGAAGAACGCCACAGAAAAAACTGCTTTTTGTGCACTACTGAAGCTACTAGTAGCAAGAAGCTACTGGGTGGAGGCCATTGCGATTAGTTTGGAAGCAATCGCTACTAGTAACAAGAAGCTATCTTGGACCCAATGGACCCTGGAACTGAATTTTCCATACTCGAAAAGTAAAACGCGCCGATGGGTGGAGTGGCTCGCAGGTGCAACAAGCTCGAAGTTGGACGCTCGAAGACTTGGAACGCACGGAAGTCTCAGCTCCTCTTCAGGTGACAGATGGTACAGATGGGCCGCTCCTTGGTGTTGTGGGATGTACTGGCACAGCAGAAGTGAACGTCACCTGCACTTTGTACCTGTCAGCTTCCTAGCTGTACTGGCCAGAAGGATTAACATCTCTCCCCCTCCCCTCCCCATCATTCACCAAACTTGCGATGTTCTGCTTGGCCGCAGACCGGCAGAGCGGCAGCGTCGCTGCCCAGGTGTCATGACGAGGTTCTTCGACCTAAGACGACGGATTTGTCCCAAGACGCCGCTGGGAGAAGGACCAGTCGACCGGACCTGTTGGACGGGCTCTGCTGACTGGAGCGGTGTTTTGTTCAGCGACTGGGCGCCGTGTTTGGCGTTGAGGAAGAAAACAAGTCAAAGGCGAATCTGAGTTTAGACCAAATGCTTCAGATTTCAAGGATGTGTTGTCTTTGCCAAGAGGTAACTGGATCTGATACAGCATCCAAAGGTTTACTTTTACAATGATACATCCTGGAGTTTGTCAGGAAACGTCTGAGACTTAATGGAGAGATGTATTCAACATGTACTACCTTGATGTTGTATTTTCCTTATCGAACGCTTTGCACTGGAACGAGTCATTGAGTCAAGAAATATTCATTCAGTGACTGGTTTCAGTGCTGGACGCATTCGATGACTGGTCTTGCTTATGAACACACCACGCATCTCTGGTCCTTGGGCCACTGCATCTCACAGACGACCTCTTCGTCCTTCGAAGACCCAAATCTTCAAAAGTGTTCTTTGACCCCAAAGACGTTGCTAGGGCCCAGGCCTGGCCTATAGGAATGCCTATAGGATCCTATATAAGATCCTGTAGGTACTATCAAGTGACACGCTTCATCTTGAGGAAAAAACATGTGTTTGATCGTTTTTGTTCGTCTTCCATTCTCCGCTTTACTGGACGTTGGACCCCGCTTTCCAGGAAGGCCGAAGCCGCTTTCCATCTCAGTTCCCTTGCTTCCCCGAGGCCCATTCTGGTTCCTTTGAATGAGCTTCGGCTTCACTCCGTGCAGGCGGGGTGGATGGCTTCGTTGACACACTCATTGCGTGATGCAAACATTGGACACAACCTGTCTTTTTTCTGGGATTTTTGATCCCAGAAAACACCCGGCAGCCTGATCAAGAGGTCATGGCTCCTGCTGTTCAACCTGTTCTTAAAGACGGGCACCTCGAAGCATCCAATCCGGTCCTCGCCATTCGCCGCAAGCGTTCGCGCGCAGACGCAATGCTCCTCCACACCAGAGCAAATTCGCCTACACTTGAAGGAGGTGCATGTCGCGACGGGTGCGGCAAAAATGCAAGAGCTGTGGATCGTGATCCTGAGGCTGAAGGAACCTTTAAAGTTGCTCAAGTTAATTCAAGTTGTAAGTTCACTGGGGATTCCAAGCCACCCCCCCGACTCTTCATCCGAAAAACACGGGTGACCGAGCTGCGAGGCCGGCCGTGACTCCCGGTGACACGACTCCAACGGGCCGATCTCGGGTCCAGGTTCCCAGAGCTTCCCCCACGAGGCCAGCAGAACGATCTGCGGTGGTGGGGGGGTTCCCCCAAGTACATGGGGACTTGAAGATGTATGGCGTTTTTGTTTGAATGGTGCTTCCGTGTTCATCCATTTTGTTCAGTGACGGTGTGCAGAAACCAAAGAACCACGATAGATAGGGACCCAGTAGAATTGATTGGGACATAAGATAATTGTTTGTGCAGGTCCTTTGTGTAAGCTAGCAAAGTGCTGTTTATCCATGCAACTCTCGTTCCTTCCCAAAAATCAGCAGGCCATCAAGAAAGAACCACTCAGAAGGGTGGTTGATAGCCGTGGCAGGATTTTTGGGGTTTAACATGGGGTACTGTATATTAATGATCTGTCCATATACTAGTATCAAAGGCCCCTGTGCATGCCTTGATGGGTAGTGCTTTGGATGATGTCTTGTTATCCAACTGTTTGTTTGGTTATGTACACCACCAACGGACTGCATACAACCTGTCCCGGACCTCACGCTCATCATATGAAAGGCGCAGCCAGAGTCCAAAAGCGGTGAACCGAGTATTTGACACAAAATCAAGAGACTGATGATGGATTGCCTTGAAAGACTGGAATCACAACCAAACCTTCCCTACTACAACGTACCATGAACATGTATAATAGCACCGTACAAATCTTAAGATACAACGAGACACCGAGCGAGACGTTGGTCGATAAACGCACAAAAAGAGTTGGTCGACTGGCACGATTGATTTGATCGAAGGTACTTGTTACTACTAGCATGACACTTGTTACTAGTAGCTTCTTGTTACTACTAGTAAGGCACTTGTTACTACTAGCGTGGCACTTGTTACTAGTAGCTTCTTGTTACTACTAGTGAGGCACTTGTTACTACTAGCGTGGCACTTGTTACTAGTAGCTTCTTGTTACTACTAGTGAGGCACTTGTTACTACTAGCGTGGCACTTGTTACTACTTTAAGACGTTGAAACTGCGGGACTCGGTGATGAGAGCGCTGGTGACGAGCTGCGATCGCTGGTGACGGGGTGGAGCTAGCCTTGCTGAGGCCAGTCGCAAGAGGCGAAACGGGTGGGGCAGTGACTGGGACGAGTCATGTTCAGCAGCTTGTTGGTCGGGCAGCTAGTTAGGTCCGTAGCCTTGGAATCAGACCATTCTTGCCTGAGTCTTTATTTTTGAAGAAGGCAGAGGCCCATCACTGACTGGAATTCTGAAAGGTGTATCTCCAGGTTTGGCCCTCAAGGGTGCAGGTCCTGCAGGATCTCTCCCAGGATATTACAGGTCAGGTGCTGGTGAAGAGCGTGGAGAACGCACTTTGACGCTGTCGGGATGAGGAATCAGAGCGCCACGTGGCGCGCGGCCACGCAGGACTCGGCTCCTCCGGTCGAAGGTGCGGACCGAAGCTTCGATGAAATGGTCAATGTCCGGGTGCAGCAGATCTGTTTGAAACGGCCATGGGGGTCTTAACGTGGTCTCATCGTGGTCTTAAGGAGAAGTTTCTTGCCAGAGATATGAAATGATATGAACACATTTTGTGAAATTTGTTTCGCAGAGCCTTTGTTGCTCAAAAGTCTGTGTTGAGACTAGGAATTATATAATGAAAATATATAGGCTTGCAGTGCACTATGCTCAAAAAGCCAAGCCGAGCCTTGGAGAAGGCTTTGTCGTCAAAAGCAGCCATGCCATAGACAGCTCCCAAAGCCAATTGGTCGCGACTCCATGCACATGTGTTGAAGTGCTTCAACCAAGACTTCAATCATGAATTTCATGATTGAAGAAAGCAGGTGGATCAGGCTGCACGAAACCCATTTTTCGGAGCACATTTTGGTGCCCATAGCCATGCAGAGCCTGTCCATCTTCCATGCGAGCGAAGATGGCCTCAGGCGGACACCGGGCTTTCCCCATTGGCCGTGACGACGTTTGACAGGGAGACCACCGTAGATTCATTAGGGGAGAAGATGGGAGAAGGGAATTCCAAGCAGATGAAGGCCCTGTCAGCCAGGAGGAATGAACCACCGTTCTGCGGAGCGGATTAGTTCAGTCGAGCAAGGGAATTTTCTTCACCCGCTGGAACCCGCAACCGAAAATCCTGTTCGAACCATGTGACATCAATCGTCCACCCCGGGCTCAGAAGCGTGCTCACACGCGTGTAGAGTCCGGTGCCGATGGCAGTAACTTCACCTTCCCTTTGTTGAGGAAGACCCCAGCCCGCCCCACCCCGCCCAAAACCTGAAGACACCACGTCGCTCAAAGGACGTGGTACTCTTCCCAAAATGGATTGGAGAAGAAAATCGACATGAATTGACGCAACAAGTTCCTTCCTGGTGAGGCCGGCCAGTGATGATCAGGGTCCTGCCTCAGCAGCCCTGCTTCGAATGAAGGTGAGGACCCAAGGCTATTGTTGTCTATGGGTGAGTTGTTTCTATTGTATTTTTCTTGGTAGCTGAAACAAAAAGGTGGTATTTGAAGGCTTTGGTGGCTTTGAAGATTTGAAGTCTTGTAATTGTCCAGAAACGGGTTGGGCAAGAGAAGAAACTACACAATAAATATAAAGCTACCAGTAATGAGATCTAATGAGTCTATCATAGTCTAGCTATTTAATGGTGATTGTTAAGGTGTGCTGAGGCAGGCTTCCGGTAGCGCTGCCAGGCCTTGCATGAAATGGAGTTGAGATCCATCTTGAAGTCCATGGAGGCACCGCCGTAGAGCTGGTCAGCTTGCAGCTCAGATGACTAGAAATTGTTATCATTGTTATGTGTATATATATATATTATATATTATATTAATATGCATTTGCTGAAGATCGAAAGAGGCCATTTCCGTCTTCAATATGAATGTTGCAGCACTAAATCAAGATCAGCCACGTGCTCAATTCCCACAACAGCACGTTATCCGAAAAAAACATGCATGCGTGCCATGCCTCGCAACAAGACGACCAGACTGTGTTTTGCAAACTGCCAGGAGAATGCTGTGAGGCGAAAGACGCAGGCAACTGCGATGACCAGTGATGCTTCAGTTGCGGTTGAGTGGAGTCCTTGCATTATGTGATTTTGCTCGTGAAAGAATTGGGCTTGCCACTTCATACTTCATCCCCCAAAACACGCCAAAGAGTCGTGGTTTTCTTGGTGTGAAAGTCAGTGTGCAATCTGTGACCATGGTTGATTGGTTTAAGAATGTTTAAGACTCAGGTGGGTTGTTGAGAATTCGTGGTGTTGGAATACTGAATTGATGCAGGTCTACAGCTACGAGAGTTATCTTCAGCAATCAATTCTGTTTTTTCTCCAGCGAGTGACTCGTGTGTGGCTTTTTCCTGTTCGTTTTTCCATGCGTTGTCCCAAATGCTTTCCCTCCTCTTTTCATGCGGCGCTTAGTTTATTCGTGGCATCCAGTGTCTCACCCCCCACGCCAGGGGAACATGGCCATGGAAAAAGGCGAGTTTCGTCAGGCGGTCAAGGAATACAGCTGTGCCAGAGGCCCCAGCTGGCCTTTCTGGTGGAGAGACCGCATTTTGCTGTTTGCTGGATGAATTGTGCTTTTGCTGGGGATTCAATTTTGGATGAAGCTCGCGCCTCATTTGATTTGTTAATTTCTGGGACTTGTTTGGCTCCAAGCTGGCCCCTTCTCTCGGTTGTTGACAGGGCCATGTTTAAATCATGTGCTGCTCCCTATCTAGCCTTGCTGCTCATTGATGAATGTAGTCTTGACTGGAAACGCGGCAACGCTTCTGTTTGATGAGAGGCGCCCGACATAAGCTGTTTGGTATTGGTGTTACCTCCCTTCTCAGACTCAATTACTTCAGCTGGATCAATGTTTCACACCGTTTTCAGCTCCAAGGGTTCAGGTGATGTCGAGTTTATACCACCTATAGGTCAGGAGTCCTTGGAGAAACCCATGAAACCACCACGAAACCACTCAATGACGCTTACATCATCTACTTGTAGACGCCGCCTTATTGAATAACGACCATGTTGAGAGCAAACTCATAGGCACGAATGTTTCGCATTTGTGTTGCCCTTTTTTGTTGGCCTCTTAGGTTCTCAATCTTGCAGGGCATTCCTGCCACGCTACCTTGGATCCATGTGTGTGGCTTTGTGGTTGAGTTCCTTTTGTGTTCATGGGTGCAAGGTGAGGTTTCTTATGTGTAGACCCCTGGACCTCTCCTGCTTTGGTGGCTGCCTGGCTGGTGGCTAAATCTTTCTCACCACCGTTCGTCACAGCAATGTACGATGACAGAAGAATCAGTGGTGCGATAACACACCCTTACCCGCGCCCACACCCTTACCCGTGGTCGGTGTTTCGCCGAAACCTGTGCTCCATGGCACCCGTTGGACTCTCGTTCCTAAGCACCTTGGTTCGTGAACCCGAGGCCTTACAACACGCGGGCGACATGATGGACTTCTTGGAGGCGGAGTGGAGCAGGGTGAAACCACGGCGACCGGGTGAGGACGGCCGACGTGGTTGTTTGGGGTGTCCACGGTGTCACGGTTTGGTGTCTCAGGGACCGATATGCCACCTTTGGTAGTTTGAAGGACAGGACAGGCGATATGGGCGATTGATAGAGTGGATATCGGAGAGGTCCATGTTTCGCGGCGCTGTTTGGTGTTCCCCAGTTTCATAGCCTTTTTGGTGGCCAGTCTTGCATCCTAAAGCCATTCGCTTGCCGTTCACTGCAGTCTTTGTAGACTTGAGCTGGGTAAGATCTTGCTGCGATGACTGCAGTTGGAGAAATCTCCGGCGCTGAACGGGTATCAGCTGCGAGCCTTGGCGAAGGGAATGCCGGGCGCCACAGAAAAAACAAAAGCAACAACAAAGGTGTTCGGGGTCGTTAGAGGCAAAGCGCATTGACATTGACAGTCGGAGTGTTTCCAAAAACATCAAAAATTGGGGAAAATGATCAGACATTCCACTGATTGAAGTATGTTAATAAGCTTTAATAAGCATATGTTGATTTTTCGAGTGTTTTTGTCCTATATCATATGTCCATGTTCTTCTAACAGCTCCGGGCCTCGGGGATGAAGAGAAAGCAGAGCCGTTTATGCTTGGTTTGGATTCAGTTTGCTGAGCCTTGCTTGGAATCAGTTTTCTTGTCAAGCGTGAGCAGTTCCTTGTTTGAATACATTCATAGAGAGGAGCATGAAATCAACCAGTGGTCTTGAAAGTTGAACTACCAATATCCCAAAATATAATCAAATAGAATTTCCACTATGAAATGGGTGGCCTTGAGGCCAGTATGAAATGAGATTCTCTGTACACACAGGGGTCGCAGGCCAGTCAAAACATAGTCATGACAAAGTGTGCATTTATCAAGGAGACACTGAGGCCACTCATTTTGTAGTATGTTTTTGTTCAGTCATCTTGGATTAGACTGGGTTGGTCCATGCATTTTGTAGTAAATGCATGTTTTGTGTTTTTGCAACTATAAAGTGTTGTATTCAATGCGTTTCTTGGATTGAATGAAGGTGTTGCCATTATGTGTCATTCACAAGTTCAAGAAGGTTCAAGTGTGATGTTCTCCGTTTTTCGGAGAATAATTGCTTGCTCATCTTTAGATGTGCATATTCAGGCCAGGCAAAATATAGTGATTTTTTGTCAGTTCTCTTGGGGGGGGTGAGGCATTTTTTAGACAAATTCTGGGTTGGTCTATGGATTTTGTAGTCCAAAAACCTCTGTCCCGCTAAAAGTTCACTTGCCCAACCTCACCTGAGCAACGTCATAAACCGCTATGAAAGAATTTAGGTAGGACTTAAGATTATGAATCTTTGCGAAAGGAAAACTGCAGTTGGGGAAAGCTTGGCGAAAGGTTTGGAGAAAGGCTCTGATTTTTTGATGAAAGGATTTTATTGCGAAAGGGTTGGCGAGAGAGGTTTTCAGTACAAAGCATGTCATCCAAAGACTCCTGATAACCAGGCGAAAGGTTGGTGAAAGGTTCGCGAAGATGTGGCGAAAGCAGTGGTTGCAGATTAGGAATGATTCCCCTTTCTGATATTTTAGATGCAGGTAGTAGCAGAAACTCGGCGAAAGGGTTAGCGAGAGAGGTTGTTAGGTGAAGTGGGTCGGCGAGAGCAAAACATGCAGCCGCGAAAGCATTGCGAAGGGATTGGCGAAAGGTTCTTATAATCTTAATAAAAGTTCCGGATGCTTTTTGACACCGCTCACCTGTGAAATTTTAACGACGATCAAATAAATCTATGACATATGGGATTTCAACGTGCAATCTCCTATTGTTGGATTCTTTTTGTATCGATTTTCCTGCTTTGCCAAAGTCGGTGTGGACTTGTCTCACTTGCACAGACAATGGTCCAGTCTTGAACTCGCCCACCAAAATGGAGAGACACCCGATAGCCCTGGTAGACTATGGTAGACTGATCTATTTTGCAGACCTTCCAGGGGTGCGTTGCCTGGGACCAAAATGGTGGGACTTCAAGTGGGACCGAAGCTTTTCGCACCAAATGGACCAAAGCCATTTGACCAGGACCATGAGGACCATGAGGAGCGGGCTGTGGTTCCTGCAACAAAGAGATTTGGAACCATGAGGACCTCACAACCAGAGGCGACCTCTCACACGTACCCATTAGGATTTAGGACATCCTTGTTTCTTCCGTCTTTTTCACCTCTTCGGTGGAGTGCCCAGAACCCAGGCCACTTCCTCAGAGGGGACCCAAAGCTTTGCAGCCCTTCCGAGCGGTGGCCTTCGCCAGCCGCGCTGCGAAGCGGCAAGTCAAGCCGTGAGCCGTTGGGTGGGCCTGAGCTCTGCAAAAAAGGGTGATTTAATCGGCATGGGCTTGATCGGCCTTTGCAGGAAATTGAGTTTTCAGGGACTCAAATCTCCTAGCTCTTCATTGGGTCGTCATGTGGGAGACTTGTGGCCACCGAGGGCTAAATGGCCAGGGCCTGGGAATTGCTGAGGCTTTGGCATTTTTGCGACTGGATGCATATGAACAATGCTTGGAGGTGCCCTGTTATTTCCCGTGGGGAACCGGCCACGAGGCGAACGGCAGGAGGATGTTTAAAGACGTTTTCAAACGAAAAGAAGGCATGGTGCATGCAGTGACGCAAGCAGCACTTAGTGCAACGAGTAATGATTATTGTTTGCTGCCAAAAAATAAGTTTGAAGGGATGTATGGCTACACTACTGTCTAGTGACTTAGGCAACTGTGGTTCAAGTATGTTCAAGTGACATACCCACACGGCTACCCACAGGGCTAGGTCATTTGCGCTCACACATCGAGCAAAACAGAATGTTTGGGTGGGGAAACCTGGTGTCATAGGACCTTTGGACGCCTCCACAAAAAGGAGGGGTATTTATTTTTGGATTTTTTTGTGTTTCTTTTTTGGATTTTTTTTTTTTTTT